AATATAATTCTATATTCATTTCCACTAAAATTTTTATCAATTATTCTTAGTGTTGTAAAAAATCAAAAATGTGTGTGTGTGTGTGTGGAATACTACGTAACTATCAAATCAGTAGAACCAACTCACAAAATTTTGAAATCATGTTCATCAAACTAAACCTGCTGACTACTTTTGTCAGGAGATTTTGCAATTTGAAGCATATTTTCGATACCAGATGTATCCGAAGTCATCTCATCCTCGATATCATTATCGTCATCATCGCTTTCATCAGAAATGCCTTCAAGAAAATCTGGATCCAACTGCTGTAATCTAGATCGAAGTTCTAAAACAAGTAGAAATCTATGACATAATACACCGAAACAATGATGGAGAGTACAAAAAAATGATGTAAGACTAAAAACAAAAATTTTGCTCATAAGTTAATACTTTCTCTAAACAACGCTTGATAATAATTTATTAAAAAGTAGAACAAATAACAAATCTCACAAAATTAAATGTGCATGAGAAGCCATGAAAGGGTGCAGAATTTCCATACAACTTTGCTTGAATTTTCAAATCTAAATATCGAGATCAAAATTTATTTAACAACGAAGACTAAAATCTTTGGTAAGAGTACAGCTTCAGAATGTATTATATAGGTACCTTTAACATCAGTAGACCTTACTGTCTCACAAATTGCTCCAACTTCTTCTCTCAAATCGATCTCCTGCAGTTATCAATCCAACTAAATTTGATTCGTGTTATAATTTTTGCTAAATTTCAAGAATTTGTGTAATTAATGTTGAAAATTCTGATAAAGTGACCTCTTGAAACTCCTGTTCATTATCTTCCATTAATTCTTTCATTTCATCCTCATCATCCAGAAATAGTTCTTCGTCAAACATATTTGTTCCTGTTACTTCAAAGTCATGTACAACTGGATCATTTGTTTCAATTTTTCTAATATCTGTAAATGGTTTGAAAGATTAATAAGAGTTAGTGGAATGAAGTTCCAAGAAAAATAAAACATGGGAAAATCCTTCACCTTTTGGAATACGAAAAGCAACGCTTTGTGTGGCGCTAAAGGAAAAAGTAGAAGCATTTCCGTTGAAGAAAGTATGCAAGCGGCTCAAATAATCCGTTTCTTTTTCGGTGTTCGATGATGGTCGTTCTTCTAAAAATTTATCGTTTTAATAAAACTCACATTATAATTTAGTTCCTCGCTTTGATTTAAAATTCCGTATTGTTATTTAAATTAATCTCCAACTTCCAATCCTGGATTATTAGATATTTCTAAATATAAGATCATCAAACTTCAATCAGCAACATATCAAAAGTTCACAGTCTGAAGCACATAATCAGAAATAATTTTTAAAACCTTGTGATGATTCGCTAATTAATTCTCCACCCTTCTTTTTACAACGCCGCTGCTCATCTTGCCATATATAATTCAATCCTGGATTGTTAGATATTTCTAAACATAATACGACCATAAATGTGGATAAAAATGTAGAGTCTATTAGTTCTTAGTTATACCGATTAAATTGCTGAAAAAATTTATTACATTATGCAGAAACCATTAAATTTCTGAAAAGATAAAAATTTGATTCCATATATTTTTTTAAATCTTTCGCAAGTAAGTAGAAAAGCTAACTTGAAGCAGAATAGAAAGAAGCATTAGTGATATCTGCAGCAAAAACATCACATTCTACAGCTGTAGTAGTTGAAGGTAACAGTGGCGACACAAGTTCAATGCTAAAAATAGATTTTGTGAATGTCGCAAACTTGTGTTAATTTATACACAATCCATATTATTTTATAGATGGAAATATATTATTACAAGAAAAAAATACACTACCACAAGATAATATTTATAGAGAATATTATGATAAAGGATTTAAAAGAAATCTTTGCTAGCAACATTAGATTAAATAGATACTAGTAGGCATAAAATATATTCATTTTAATTAATATCTATAAAACTATATCATCTCACTTGTTAACGATGTTCTCGACTTTCAGATCTTGATAATAAAAGTCTGAAAAATAACTACATTTCTTTCAAGCAAAGTGTTGATATAAACAAGAACGTATTTTGAAAAAAAAATAAAAAATAAAAAAAACCACGAAAGACAGATAACTCATCAGATGATAGTTAATTATTAGATTGTTATAAGCAAAAAATGCAAGAGTAGTGGGTGATATCAGATAGATTAAATATAAAAAGTTTTGGGACCATTTTCGGTTTCATGCTGCAACTGACTTCAGTACACGACGTCGTACACAATGATGACATCATGAAAAGAAACGACGGATCAAAGTCATTTACGATAAAAAAACAAACCGTTAAAATTTCGCTGCGGAGATACACGGAATTTGACTGAACTGAAATTGACCATATCCATGCCAAATATGGAATGATCTATGAAAAACTGTAGAACATAAGGTATATGCGCCTCATACACTTGAAATATTGAATTCTTTCTTGCTTCTTTTTGTAGAGCATCTGCTATACTGAAAAATTTCTTTTGAATCTAAAGTAAATAAAAAAAAGAAAAACTATCAGGAACACATACACTTGGTAAGTGCACAACAGAATAATCCATTAGAACTTGAAGAACATAAGGTAAATTTAATTTATAGAGTTGAACCACTCTATACAAATCAGATTAAACAGTAGGTATATAAAACACGAATAAAATTCCGTGAGGGTCTCATGCTTAAAAAATATCATATCATTTCAACAAAAACAACGCAGATTTCAAGCTCACATTCTAAGTTGAAGTGGATTATAGCAAAGAATCTGCACAAAATTTTCGTTGTTTTTGTGATAACCATACAGTGATCTGAAAATTGAAAAACATGACAATATTTGTGCATAATGGAATAAACTTTTCTTAACACTTGATAGTTATTTACAATTATTTATGAACTAAAAAAAATATTTTGTTGAAAATCTTATTAAGACTTTGGAAAGAATAAGATCCAATTTACCTAGCAGTTATTGACTTGATCTCATGTATTGCAAAATTAACATTGAATTTAAGCCGTGGATTGTAATCCGAAACGATTGAACTAATTCTGTTTCGCAACAATGAAGCAAATTCAGGTGTAAATTGTACAGTAGTTTGGATTACTATATATGGAAATACACCATGAACATGTACACAACATTTTTGACCTATTAAAAAGATAGAATTACATCAGATATTCTTAGAAATTAACGAAACGGAAACAGCTAGGAAATATTAGAGAATAGTGGTTTAGAAAACATTGTCAGGAGTTTTTACTTAAGAAAACAATACTAATAGAAGCTTAAACTTGATTTTGTGATACTGGATTTGAAAAAAATGAAGTGGTAGTAATGAAATGATGACTAATACCCGTCTGTAAGATACCAAACATTCGTATGATTGGTACTTTAACATTGGTGCGAAGATGAATTTTGTTAAAACCATTTGGTTTTTCCAAATAATAATCGCATGTAACGTTTCGCACTGAGAGGCTTGTCATTATCACCAACTGATCCGTTGGTTATCACATAACTCTTTCGTTCTGCAACAAAATTACGCAGCTCGAAAGGAGTAACTAAAATTTATTAGATCTATGTGTTATAATTATAGCAATAGATGTTTTGGTCGTATTTCTAACTTCAAAAAATGGAAACATCTGAATCATAAATCCCGCGGAATAATTTATAAATTTTAGAATATTTTAAATTAATAAATAAAAACCTTCATCACAACTCACATATACTGATCATCATCCATCACTGTAGTGCCAAACGAATAGTATGAATAGTTCAGCCGAAATCCACAACAAATTTAAATTATTATCAATCATACAAATAATATGCTCAAAATACAGGATGCTTAGTTAATTCCAATTTAGATGCCCGAATCATTTTCAATAGAGAAGTGAAAAGTTTTCAGAGTCTCTAAAATTCTGAAACTCATACAAATTCACTACTAACTGTAGACTGTATGTATTGTACCATTAATGATCCTAACAGTACATTTCAACTTTATACTCAACAAAATGCATCGAGATGAATCAAACAAAAGTAAGTAAACATTCATAGCTAAATTGCTGAGCAGTTCAAGTATCAAATACCGTATGCAAATCATTTATTTTAAATCAAAACAAACACAAGGATATGTAACACTTACTAATCCAGAAACTAATAAAATAGCCTATATGATGAAACTAAATCTCGAAATAATACGTGTTCCTACAATGACATCATGCAATGATATTATTGTAGCAACGATTTCAAAAATGATAGAAGGAAGCTTCTTGTTCCAGGAATTCTCGGGTCATCCCGAATTATTTATGTCCAAGATCTTGACATTAAAGTGCATACAGTCAGATATTTTATGCTTTAGAATAAAATTTCAATGAAAATTCGGAAGGTTATTTAAATTTAAAACACTCCGTTAGTTTTCATCCTAAATTATTTGCTGAACAATTAAACAAAACAAATTTTCGAAAATATTATTTTCGTAGATTCTTATTAACACACTTGAAAGTTTTTAGTGCTTATACACAAATTTCCTATCGCAAGTTCAACAGACAACACGAATGGAGGCGCAAAATGGAAGACTGGACTGAGCAGAAAAAGAGTAAATAATGTTTTAAAAAGACAATACTTCAACAAAAAAGAAAAGCTTATAACACTTAAAACTTTTTCAACAGTTGAAAATACTGCATTTGTGAAAAAAAAAAAAACAAGGAGAACAAAACTGTTTTTCTGATACTCAAATTTCAAATTCACAAGATATTTTTTATACACAGCACCCAACAGAAGAATGGATTTTGAACAATTCTATTTCCATCGCATGCAGATAAAAGTCTCACCGACCAGTTTTGGGAAACAATTTTTTGTACAACTTCTACCAGACGGCAGTGTATTAAGAAATAAATATAACTGATATGTCATAATAAAGCTAAAGCTCATAAACGATTTAAAGATAAATTTGATATGTCCTGATAACCGACTATGGTCAAGAATGAAACAGTATTCAAGAAAGGAAAGTGACGAATGTTGTCGGAAATACACCTTTGCATAACGGATTATTTTCCAAATACCCTTCCTGAAAACTAAATGATTTGAACTCACTATTAACAGTACGTATTCAGAAAGTATTAAACATTAGAAAAGTAATGGATCTGTTCGTCTTTTAGAAGCATAAGGGAGGTTGAGACATATTAATATATATATTAATTCATTAGCTCAATAAAGAATGAAGCACCAATAATTTAATTAAAAGTGAATACTTTAATTAACTAAACAAGATGATGGAAATTTGTTTATGCGACTCAACATAAAGAATATTAGAACATTACTGTTCGGTTTAATTTTGAGGCAAGTGCTGTGAGAAAGAACAGATTACTAATTCTTTACAAAATACAACACTATTTTTGTAGCAGATAGTAGGCTTATGCAGTCATTGTGTCAAATTTCTGTAGTCGACTAAAGAAGGTAAATATTTCAAATTTATTGTATTTATTACTGATTATTGAAAATGATCTCATTTTTAATAAAAACAAGCTTACCATCCAGATATCACTTTCTCCAGTAATTTTTTCTTTTGTAATCACGATTATGTCACCTTGCCGAAATGACAACTCATCAGCATTATCAGCTTTGCAATCATATAAGGCTCGACAGCGTCGTGCACAATCTCTCTAAAATTTCTGATTCTTATTCTTGTTTACTGTCCATACAATATGATAAAGTTAGCAGGCATCCCTGTTTGGAATATTGCAGAAATTTAAACAACTACTAGTTGCTAAAGTAAGTAGCTGTTCGGATCCCATCGCACATATCCTTTATTCCAAGATTCAATCACAAGACCAGAGGAATCATTTATAGAAATCTTACAGAACTGAACTGGTCAAATCAACTGCAGCAACACTAAGAATAAGCCATATTATATATGACTTATGATATGTTGTCCTTTTACCTTACAATTGGAATCCATCAAGCAAATTAATTCGGCTTCACTCTACTTAATCTCATAAATATCAATAGAGGAGCTTTCATAAATGCACATGACTATCACAAGATAAAAAGTGATACTAAGGTATCTGTGTCACTGCTAACCTGTTTGTTTTCTCTAGAAAGAGATGGGAAACGTCTTGGAGCCGGAATCGGTGGCTTTAGTTTAACACCGATTAGTGGTGGTGGTGCAGGCGCCGGTCGTGTTAACCGTATGCTCCTCGACATATACCGAGGCATTTCCCGACGTAAATTATTTGCAGCTAACGAATTCATTAGAGAAAAGCGTGCATGTTCATTATCCGACGTAAAATTTGACCGCGCTTGATCAAAAGCCGATGAAGTTCCTTTGACAAAGTCTAAAACATAGCCTTATATCTTGAACCTTATAAGTGTAAAGTAGACTTGAAATCATATCATCCATACTTCCATCTTCTTTTATAAAGTTATGTAACAATTTTTAATAAATATGAAAGCTAATATCTTCATGAAGTAGTTGATTTAGAATATTGAAAGGAGAGCTCAATTAACCGTGTTCCACAAGATGAAATAATGCCATATGAAAAACTGTATCAAACAGTGCTATTCCTTTTTTAACAAAAATTTTCAAGAATATAATAAATCCTATTCCTTTTAACAAAAATTTTTGGGAATTAGAAATAAAAAATTTTCTACACTAGCCTTGCTCATTTGTAGTATATGGATTTCTTGCGAGTCTTTCTCTCTCATTTTGTGCTTCCGCAACACATTTCTCTTTATCAATAATTTCCTCTTTTCCTGGAGCGACTACATATATATTCATTTCCTGCTTTTGAGCATTCAAAGGAATAGGATCAAGACTTATTGAGGCAACAATCGGAAATGTTGCTCCCATTATTTCATCATTATCTGGAAAGAAAATAATTATTTTCGACCTTCTGCTCCTTTTAATGTGTTTTTTTTATTTCCTGAGTCATCAGAAATGTCAATACAAATGCTTGAAAAGATTTTTTCCGCATTCACCCTCCAATACTTTCGTAGAGAAAAGCTTCAAAAAAAAAAAAAAAAAAAAAAAACATATTATTTTTCAAAAAGTTAGCCACATATAATAGCATAGTGCTTTCTTTGCTTGAAAGATGAAAAATCAACATAAAATGCCGTAAATAAATTAGTTTCATTATATATCAGTATAGATCACCATTACTTCATAGATCATAGTAGGCTTTCAAAATTGAGTGTATGTATAAATAGAATTATATTAAAAAGTCAACCTCTAGTGGAGCTGGACTGTGGAGCAAGATGTCCTGGAAGAGATCTAACTGTTGCTGATCTATCGCCTGGGTCCTCAAATGAATTTGTTCAGTTTAGAAATAAAATGGCGTAAATAAATTAGTTGAAATGACTATGCAACTAAGGAACTGGCTATAATTTACTGACATCAGAAATATTTTTACTTCAAAAGAATTTGCAGTTCGTGAATATTCGCTAGCTGATCGAATATAGGACTTTGCCATGTTTTGCGCTGGTGTAACCGAAATTGGTGGCGAGGAAGAAATCGGGATAGATGGTAATGTCTATAAAATAACAGCCGCATTCAGAGGAAGAGAAAATTCTGAAGTTAGTATTTCCTCAGATATTTGGAATTTGATATTCAAACTCAGCAATTTCTTATCGAAACAAGAAGCACCACTAAGTTCAACAATCAACACTAAACCACTTCTTGAAATATCTCATTTTCGAAAATTTACCACAGAATAATGATTTGAATGCGTGACTACGCGTGCGGAGTCAACATTAGACGATGGCGTCGAAGTACAGAGTGGCACTACGAATGGTAGGAATTCTTTTCTTTCATCAAAATTCTTGGAACCACTTGTCTGTGTGCTGTTATGCGCAGAAGTTTCTGTATATAAGGCAGTTCAAATCACACAAATAATACGGTTAGAATTATTAATATCTGTTAATTAATAGAAATATCACTTATTTCCTATAAGATTTAAAAAAGTGGATCTGACCGCGTCCTTTGATCAAATAAAAATTCATATAATGTAATAACGAAACTGAATTTAAAATTCACAGAAATGAATCATTACATTTCAAAATGTTATCAAGATAAAAGAGAGAACCTTGCCAAAAGTCGAGAAAAAAATCAGAAAAAGGCATACAGTATAAGCATACAACAGCATACCGTATACTATACATTACACACTATGACTATACACGATTATAATCTGGAATATAAACTAATGAATGACTACTTGAAGAGATATAATTTGTACCATACCTCTTTCAACCAAAGAATGAGCTGGTTCACTCTCAACAAAAATCTGCTTGGATAAACGATTGCCTCCAGTGTCTTCCATAGATAAAGGTGCTATAAAATACACTAATGTTGATGTTATGAATGAAAAAAAAAAATACATCAAAAGCTTCTAGCGGTTTAATGCTATAGCTGCAATTGATAACAGCGTATAATCCCATACAAGGCAACAGAACAGGATACATCATTACCAAATCTTTTTGTTCGATCATTATTTAACTTTCTATATTCAAACCAATCAGATTTCATCACCCAACGAGTATTGATATCTCCTCTGCTTACTTGAAGATTCGAAGAGAATATTTCTTATGCTTTAAAATTCTCAAAGTCTTGCTATTCTCAATCTATGACGAGTCGCTCAGATTTTCTTGTAAGCAAAATGAACAATTAAGATGGAAAAGGAGTACATTGCGGAACGGATATAGTAGTACCATTTCGCATGAGAACATTAATTGGTTTCGATATGACATTCTGAGAAGCAGTTGAATCGGATGGAAGATGTGGACAGGACGAAACAGAAGATGACGACCGACTCAGCGATGCTACAAGAATGATTTTTGAAATACACTAAATTTGAATATTTAACTTCGAAGTTTTTATATACTTAATTTCTCCACTGAATGTTTACTTACACTTTTATAAATTCATAACACTTACCTGAATCGGGCGTCGAAATAAATAAAATTGGTGGAACAGCCACATTTTGCACTTGCGTACTATCACCCAACTGCAGTGAGCGCAACTAAAAAAAAAAAAACCGAATTTTTAGATGTTCAAAAAAATTGATATGCATGTAGGAGATTCAAAATACTGCGATTCGAGAATGACGACATTGAGCTAGAGAAGTTTTCAACTAAAAACTAAAAAAGTAAGATTAAAAAGACAGAAGCAAACCCTGTCTCATCAACACTTCTGAGCTAAACTCATTATAAAGAAATAATTGAAGTAGAACAATTAATGAAAATTTCAAAAGCTCTTACAAATATAGTATCGAGGGAGATTAGAACGAAATGTCTTGCATCAGCAGAAATTAAATCTTTGAAACAATCAATCATATACTCATAAATATTAGAACACTTTAATAATTGTATAATACCTAACTTTATTGACTAGAACCCCATCAACAATAAAATGATACCGTTTCAGTAATTTTCTTTTGTTGTGCATTCTCAGAGCATGTAATCAGTGAATGCAAATGTATGCTACGAACGGCAGAACTTAGAGATCGGTAACGCAATAAAACAGCCACCATATCAGCATTTCCACAACGGATGCAATCCATTATTATTGCTTCCATGTCGGAAATCTCAATTCTAAAAGAAAAAAACAGATTTCATTACAGTTATGTAAATGATATTGTGCATGTAAAAAATACTGTCTCTTTTCGAGTTATTTTTTAGTACACGAAATTTAATTAGTTAGAAGCTCGGTCTCGTCAGAATTTGATGGCAAAAAGAAAGACCTTAATTGCATGACCAAATCTGCAAGAGGCAATGATAACGAAGTCTCGCGTAAAACCATTTGATGAAACGGTCCATTTCGGAAAAACGGCTTTTTCGTTAAATTTGGACTAAGCAGTGCTCTAAAATATATTCAATATCTTGAAACAAACATAGTTTGATGTGTAATGAATATAATCCTTTTTTTTTTTTTTTTTTTTTTTTTTCAATGAAAGTTAAGAATGAGTAAAACCATAGCTATACCTATATGTATTCTCAAAGTCACAATTATTAAATGCTTCAGTTAGAGATGCATCGGGATCATCAAGTTCCTGCACAAAAGTGCGATCACGATATTTCATTTGAATGAAACGTTGACGATCAAATCTGAAACTATTGAAACACCTTTTTTACTTCACATGACTAGCAAAAAATTACCGATTTCGTGATTATACAATAACTCAAAAATACAACAACCCAGATAATGCAAGTGCTATCTTATCAAGCACAATCAAATACAACAAAACATATCTTAAACAGCAGTAGCTGTCAAACAGGTAGCATCAACAAAATAAAGTACAACAGTGTCAACGTACCTTGTACATCCTGGAATCGGTTTCCATGTTGCGCATTTGGCTGCATCATATTCGAACAAACGATTAATCATAATGTTGCCAGATGAAAGTGGTACCTGAAACAAGATGAAGGCAATTAACTCAAGACCAATGAAATGGTGTCATCTTCAGAATTAAAAAAAAAAAAAAAAAAAAAAAAAGCTTTTCCAATCTTCTTCAAGGTTTCGCATTAAAGTAAGGTAAAGCTAACCGAACAAATATTCAATTTCGTTAAAAGATGCAAAATTTGGGAGAATTTTCCAAATTTTTAATATCGAGAAATCTAATTTAAAACAAACTTACAAGAAACTCCAACGGTGATATAACATCCAAATTTAGTGACTGTATCCTACTTACATGGACACCCAATTCCCGATGCACACCACTACAAGCAATACATACTAGTGCACCAATATTTGATAACCACTGTACATCTGTAAATTTCGCAACTGCGTACTACTTTAGTTAATGCATGAAATCAAACTAATTTATAATTTTATTTTGATAAGCATCCAGAAAAACTGTTTTGCGTAATATTTTAAGTCGATTATGGTAAACAGCAAACCTTCTTTTGATGAGCAATCAGCACAAACATTGTTACCAGGAAGCTTCCGCACTTTTGCTACACACATTTTTCTTTCATACAGTTCTGAAATAGCACCACTACTACCACCTTCATTTCCCTGAGGTGTTTCGGCTGACAGCATTTTCGCTTTGACTCTTGTTATTTCTCGTTTTAATGCAAGCATCCATCTACAATTATTCCTGTGACATTTAATTTTGACTCTAAAAAAGTGGTATAGAGCCTAATCAAATCAGTAATAAAACTTCTGATTTCCGAAAAATCGATTTTATCCAGCACCTTTTTGCATCAGTTTCTGAATCAGCTTGTAAATGATATGTCCTCTCACGGCAATATAAATCGAAAGATTTCGGGTCATCGGTTGATGGCTTACAATCCGACACAAGTAGGCTCAGCTTTGTTGGTGGCGCGGACTCCTCAAAAATGTAAGCAATAATATTATATATGTTTGGGTGTTCTTTATTGATCTATTCTATATTAGTGAAAAGGAACAGTCTATTGACTACTCCGATAAGCATAGTTATGTGGTATCAAAATATCTTAACTGAAAAAATTAAAGGAACGTTCTAATGCAATGGTAAAATAGGACGATTTTACGGTTAAATCCGAAAAAAAAGACTACATCAGAATGTGACAGCCAGAAATGTCCATCCTCAATGCGGCAACGACGTTTCTGCCACTGTTTGTGCAACTTCTTGTTACTTTTCTTGTATAAATAACCAGATTGAGTAAAATCAAGGTCTGGGAAGAAAGCTGTACTTGTGGCTAATTCATTTAATGGATCATTATCATTCAGAAGTGCACTACTGGCATTGACTAAATTAATACCGGACAGACGGCTGCCAAGATTCACTGAGTCACGCCCCGATGACCGACGCCCTGCAAAAAAAACGTTAGGATGATGAGTGCTGCAAATTAAACATAAAATATTGAAGTTTTTTTGCAAACATGAGAAAAACCTTTTCTTGAAAACTGACAATGTGAAACACTGCAAGATATATCAGAGAAAGTATTCCAAAAATATCTTATCTAATCAAAACTCCGACAACTTTTACATTTAGTTATTTCTATATTCTATTACTTTACCTGAGGCGCAACGTGCAAGTTCATCATTTGCTTCCAACTGGCCTTTTAAATCCCAAAGTGTATTTCGCTGGGCACATCGATTTGCATTCCGTGTCATCATTCGCTCCTCCAACTTCGTCATATCTTGCCGAAAATCTTCATTTACCCTCACTCGATTCATGTAATAGCTGGAAATTGAGTTGTAACATGACTTTTACAAACAATCAAAACTGGAAGGCTGTAACAAAATCAGAATTATAAAAAGTGTTCAGGATTGACAGACATAATGTATAATAGAGAAGTAAAACAATCTAGCTAGCTAACTGCTTAGTGTATTTATAATCTTATTACATAGTAGCATACTCAAACTTACATACATGATATGTAAAAAACAATAAAAAATTAACTAACGAGTTTTGGTTGCGAACAAGCTCCATAAAATGCCGCAACAACTGTGGACCTCGACGATCTTCTACCGTGTCAACTGACATCAGGAACTAAATTTCAGACTAACAAAATGCTCAATCACTGAGAAATTTACATAGCTAAATAATAGCCGCTGATTTGAGCTGAACACATTATTTTTATGCCACATGGTTACATATAAAACCCGCATATCCGAAACAATACTTTGCATTATATGATGTCAAAATAAAAGTGGTTTAGCAGTAATACAGTACTACTTTAATGGATTCCTAATATCATTATACATCTATTTAAATTCGGTTTCAATAGAATCTAATCTAAAATTTAGTTCATCTACAGACAGGAATGACGAACAAAATCCCTAATAATTACCTTGCACAACTCGTATTGTACCATAAGTCTTTCTCGTGTTAACTGCTCCGCTAACTCACCATGACCCAACTGGCTTCTGGTATAACCAGCATGCTGCAAAAAATAGTTTTCTGAAAAAAAAAATACAAAATAAGATAAAGAATTTAGAAGAAAATTAAAACATAATAACAGAAATAAAATACATATATCACAAATGTTTTCAGCAAGATAGTTCGGTTATACGGAGGTGGAAAGGAACGTGCAAACACCAAATGTTATAGACAATAACAAGTATATCAAGTAAAAAAAAAATCTATTGAAAACACATGTGTTATTCAACAAAGCCAACTTTTGCATGCTTCCTTGCATCAGCTTCTGCTTTTACATATTTATTTTCATAATCACGGCATGATCGTTCCACACCTCGATTGCGGATTTCACGTCCGATTTCCACTAGTGTTAGGAACGGGGTAACAATGTTGCTTTGCCAATTCCGCATTTGTAAATTCGTCAGATCAGCTTCATCCTTTAAAAACATCGAAATTAACTCTGCATGAGCGGAAATAGTAAAAGTTGTTATAATGCCAATTATGCAATGAACTACAATATTGCTCGAAAGAATAATAGTAGTTAAAGGTCAATAATAACGTTAAAAAGATTTTAAATCGAAAATACAATAATTATACTTTGATATGGCACTCCATTTTCATCAGTATAACAGCCACATCAGATTCATACTGCGATTCTGATCTAGAAGTCCACTTGGTAGCGATCTCAAAAAGAAATAAAAACTAAGATTAAACTTATCAAAGTTTGCTTATTCCATTTCACATGTTAGTTTATCAAGTCCCAAGTAGTGACATGTAAATTTACCTCTTTAGCTGCTTGTCCAAAAGCAAGAAGCTGCCTTACAAGAATCACTAAGGTATCTTCTACCTCTTTTGAAGCCTTACGTAATCGTTCGAAGTCCACCGTATAACCCTCGGTTTCTTCAACAATTCGCTGTGCCTAAAAAACATAAAACTTTTATGAAGACTAAAATTTCTGTACTCTATAATCTACGCTTCAAGAAAATATTTCACACTAAATGTAACAAACATGGCAACAAACCAATAAACTCATATTTCCAACTTCTATTCTATTTAATAATATATGAAGAGGAGAATGATTATTATCTCAAAATAACAACAAAAATGATCGGTAATAATGCAATTTATGATTTTCAATCAGTCTATCAAAGGCTTCGTAACACTTGACAAATATTGAAGTATTTGAAATTTTAATAAATTTGGGATGTTAGCTCCTGAATTTTGTTAACAAACATTCGAGTATTTTAAGAAAAAAAAAAAAAAAAACAAATATAAGAAAAAACAAATACTATTCTCTTCTCCAAACAAAGATGTATATAGTATAGAGGAACAGAAATTTAGAAAAATCAAAATAACAACGTACCTCGACACGATATTCGGCAATACGATTACCAAAATTGGATGTTACGGGGCTGTCCAGATCCGCTTTCACGGAAGTTGTGAATGAGCTTAACATAGCTCCATAACTTCCTTCACCTTCGCTTGCAGTCATTTTAATTCAACTTCATTATCTAAAATAAATACTTGAAAAAATAATCTGGTAATATAATTAATCACACATGAGATTGTGTAAGTTTCTTAGCTTCTCTAAGAATAGGGAGGATATGAGTTCAGTTATTAAGTTCATCTGAAGATATATTAATTAATTGTTAATGAAATGTATGCCCAATATTGGAAATGAGAGTGGAAACACTTCATGTGACCATGCATGGAATCAATAAGTAAAAAAAAAGTCAGCTGAATTAGAAATTAGTTAATGAAAGCAAACCTTGAGAATAGTTTAAAAATTAAAATTTAGTTTTAGTGATGGAACAACATTTCAGAAAGCTTCCTTTAGATATAAACTATGACTGATTGCCAACCTCATCAATCATCATTATAAAATGATGAGAATTCAAAGAAGCCAACAATTCACACTAATCTAAAAGCAAAGAATTAGTGATAATATGGTGTTAATAGTACGATTATTTATTCCTTTCAAAGTGAAAATATCCTTATATTTTCAATCAAATTTGAATCTTTTTGAAAATATTTTTTTTCTAAAGCAAGAGTCTCGACGAACTCTTGAAACTCAACTTTACATCTTACATAAACTCTCTTCCACTTAATACATCTCATTTTTAACAAATAAGCAAAATTCTACAAATGCAATCATCAAAGCAAGAGTCTCGACGAACTCTCGAAACTGTCACCGCGAATTACTCCCCAATCAAAAAACTTCCACACAACGAATGTATGAATCGTTTTAACAGATACTTCGAAAGTTGAAGCTCGCAATTCTTTCTTCTCTTTCTCTCCCTCTCTTATATCTCCTTTCTCTCTCCACGTCTCTCTCTCTCTTCTTAAATTAGGTCATCATTTATATTTAGTGACAGAAATTAGAGCCGCTGCGTCTAGCTGATATTCCATAAAATGTGAAATGGAAATATGAAATGATAATTTGAAATGGAAATTTCAAAGTGTGGAGTGAAATTATGAATTGAAAATAAGGAATGAAAATTAGAATGTTTGGATGGGTAATTGACTTCATTTCTTGTCATTCAAATTGAAGTTAGTGCCGAAGTGAACAGTTAATTAAAATTGCACTATATGTTGACAAGAATTAAACTGGATTTACTTTCAAATTCGAATTAAATTAACTCTTTAGTATAAGTAATAGGATCTAAAAAGAATTAGCTGCATTGATTTACCATACATCTACTACTATATCTCATTAATTTTTGCAAGAAAAAAAAGGAAACAAAACAACTTGAGTAGCATTTTAATCACATAAATTTCAGATTAATTGATATTATTAGCAAAAAAGAAAAAAAAAAGCATTAAATTTAAAAGAATGAGGATTTTACGATTTCATATTTTTAATTAAATTCCTCTCTTGTTATTTCGTTCTGTGATTAGTTTAAATGCATCATTTTACCTCGCTAAAATTAATCTAAACTTTCTGGCAATGACGAATTTGAATAGCTTAACTTGTTGTTTAAGTCGGATAATCTGAAACATCTGTGTTCCGAAAAATGGACAAATTGATTCAACTGATATAATAGAAGAATTTGTCGTGTTTAATATGCTATTAAAATATATGTAATTCCAAAAAATGTTAAATAAAATAAAGGAAAGTTATGAAAGTTCTGTAAATGAAATGATAAATGAACACTTAATTGTATTTTACGCATAATATATCCAACTAATATATGAAATATTATTGGTGGTATCACTAAAAGCCTAATAGAATACTCTAAATATCATTTATAATTTAGTGAGTAATTTCGTTTTGAAAGGAATGATACAATGTATCATATGTTGAAGTGGATGGTAATGACGATAATAATAATGCTAGTAATAATGGATGGTGTTAGTGATGATGATAATAATAATAATGGATAATGGTAATGATAATGATGAGTGATGGATGGAGGTGATATCACTGATAAATAAGCGATTAGGTGGGCATAGTGAAACAGCAATGAATGATATGTCTGCACTATTTTTCAGTAATAATTATAATACAATCGTATTACATATATATAATTTTCAATAATTATAATACATAATTCATTTTATTTGCTTTTTTCAAATCCTATTTGAATGCAAAATTTTTAGATGCAAAATTAACTGCGAAAAGTTATTTAAATTGTTGCAAAATTAACTGTAGAAAGTTAAATTAATTAAAATATGAGTTATATAATTGATAATATTTAATTGGTGAAGAAAAACTAATTTGAAATTCGCTGAGATTTTTCATAGTGATTAACACCAATATTTTATCAGTATTTTTTTCTTTCAGTATTGTAATCTCAAATCGAAAAATAATTCCGCATTTCACATAACTGTTAACATTTAGAAAATGAAAAAAGTCATTTTTATTCTCTTGAACCCAAAATAAAATTAATATCCATTACTCAGTGATGGTGCTGTTTGTTTTGTTTAAGAATTTCAAATATTTCCAATTCCAAAATATTTATTAGGGTTTTTCAAACATTCTGATGTTTGAAATCTTATTAATAAGAGATGGTAACGATATATCAGAGATATATCAAAAAGATATATCAGAAAATGGTGACAAATTCTAGTGATGTTATGTGATAAATGATTAATAAAAAAGTGATGTTATAGGAACATCTATAATTCAAATTCTGCGCTATGAATTAACAATATTTCCCCAATTGTTCTCGCTGCTTTTATTTGTCCATCATTGATTCCCTCGCATTTAAAAATATTTAAATTTTATCAACATATTATCAATATTTATGTAGTCACATGATTCATTATGTCACATGACACTTAATATTAATAATTATTGTGTGATTCATAACCGTAACATGCCAAAACAGCATTGATATTATGGCATAATTAAGTATTGATACGATGTCATATAGAAAAAGTATCAGTACCGTGTGATATGAAAGGAATGATGGTACCACAACCTTTCAAAAAAAGTGCCGGTACATGTCATATTAAGGAAAGTGTTGGTACCACTGCCTTAAAACCTTAAAGAAAGTAACTTTCTAATGAAACAAATATAAAATGAGCAAAATATATGATAAATTTATAAACCACTTTGTGTAACCGGAAGACAGGAATACCGAAAAAGTGAGAAGGACAAAGAATGAAAGTTAATCAACATGTCATTGCGTCACGACAAACAAATAATGATTTGTGTCAAAGGTTACATGCTTCATTACTTATCCATAAGCATAACTTTCTAAATGAAAGTCAATCATTGAATGATGTTTTTATTCGATTTCACAAAAGCGTCACTATTAATTACGGTAAACTTGTACAATAAAGAAAGGTAAATCTAGATAATAAAATAACTGAATGAAGAACTTAGATGCAATATTAAATGAAAATAAAAATCAATCATTAAAAAAAGCTATTAAAGCAGATAACACTGCGTCTTCATTATTATAATAATCTTGTTGAATGAAGATTAAATTCACTAAATACAATAAATGAAATCACGGTTATAATTAATGTAAAGAAATTAAAATTGATAACGAAAACGAAAAATTATATTACCTTTTCATGCATTAAAACATATTATTTGACGTAAAAATTCAAAAGCATAAAAATGGGCTGTATGAGCGGAAAATGTCTCTCATCAATTGTTATTAACCACCCAGAAAAAAAAAAAAAAACTTTACACTGTTATTGTTGATCATACTGAATGCGATGACTCATCAACATACTGTCAAAATGCTACTCCGATAATTTATTTTGTAGAGAAAAGTGAACACACATTACTGCAAACTCAATAATTCTCCATCTCATAATAAAATTAATCATCTGGATCACTGCAATTTAAATAACCAATTTCATATTAAAATATTTCACAAAAAATTAGAAAATTTGCCTCATTAAAAAAAAAAATCCTTAACAGAATAGAAACACTCATTTACTCCAATGGCAGTAAATTGTCTTCCACAGTACCACATCATGCGAATGTTAATTATTCATTATTACTACTATAAAGTCGTAAAATGACCATAATCTTGAAATCAATTCTCAAAACATTTTGTCACATGCGATAATTAGCCAAAATAATATCTCTGCATTATAGTTCTGTACATCAGTTAGAAACAGTTACATCACTTCATCAACGCCAATGTCATCAATGTGTGTACAACCTGTCCTCGGTGGTACACTCCTTCCACTACTTTTGTGACTCGTGGTAATTAATATTATCTTTTGTCTCAGCAGTGGTTGCCTTTATCTTTCACTCATTTTAATTACCAGATAAACATGACATTATTTTCAGTTCACAAAATTTACGCATATGAACTGCCATCAATGGTGGGAAAGGTACCGAACGTTTGACGTGCTTCTCGAAAAAGACATTACTAAATTACTGGCAGTCAACGAAATGGGAAATAAATTTTGACAGGAACGCTTACAGCAAAAGAAATTTCGGCAATGTCCCTGCTCCAATTATATACGTATTTGTTCAGTCATACACAATCTGATGAACGATAATAATCAAAATATAATCATGAGAATTGCAATTATTGCAAATGCATATCAATAACGAAAAATGCAAATCCTACTTCCGGAATGAATGGTTTACTGCATTAGCGTCAACAACGTTTGTCTTCCAATACAGTGAATTTAAAAACAAAACAATCTTTTGTAAACAATCGAAAAGAAAACGAACTGTTACCATAAAAACGAGGTAAGCCAACATACTGCTTAATATTCTAGGAAACGAAAACGTCCAAGGCTCTACCAAATCACAATTCACTTTCAATTAACTAAGATATTTATAATTTCCGGATCTGGTCCTCATCCCTCGCCTTAACTTAATTCATTAGCTTAATCCACCTTTTTTTTTTTTTTTTTTCACTCGGTAAACACTGATATAATTTACACGTATCCACTGTAACCAAATAACCCTAAAGAGCAGATTTCGGATAAAAAGCAAGACTCAGAAAATAAACCAATCAACTTACTTTTTCCATAGATAAACAAAAATACAATCAAATGAAACGAAACTGA